CGTGAGAACGCTCCATTTGTGTTTTCTGGCTGAGAAACAACCCGGAGCTGCAATTTCATCGCTGACGGCAGAGAGAACGGGGAACAAAAATCCAGCGTGATCAATCTCCTGGACTCCCAGTGTCCGCTTTCATAGGAGCAGGCGTGTCGTACCTGCAATGTCTGGGTATAATGGGTGTTGTAGTGATGGGACATGCCGTACCTGCAATGTCTGGGTATAATGGGTGTTATAGTGATGGGACATGCCGTACCTGCAATGTCTGGGTATAATGGGTGTTATAGTGATGGGACATGCCGTACCTGTAATGTCTGGGTACCTGTAATGTCTGGGTATAATGGGTGCTGTAGTGATGGGACATGCCGTACCTGTAATGTCTGGGTACCTGTAATGTCTGGGTATAATGGGTGCTGTAGTGATGGGACATGCCGTACCTGTAATGTCTGGGTACCTGTAATGTCTGGGTATAATGGGTGCTGTAGTGATGGGACATGCCGTACCTGTAATGTCTGGGTACCTGTAATGTCTGGGTATAATGGGTGCTGTAGTGATGGGACATGCCGTACCTGTAATGTCTGGGTACCTGTAATGTCTGGGTATAATGGGTGCTGTAGTGATGGGACATGCCGTACCTGTAATGTCTGGGTACCTGTAATGTCTGGGTATAATGGGTGCTGTAGTGATGGGACATGCCGTACCTGTAATGTCTGGGTACCTGTAATGTCTGGGTATAATGGGTGCTGTAGTGATGGGACATGCCGTACCTGTAATGTCTGGGTACCTGTAATGTCTGGGTATAATGGGTGCTGTAGTGATGGGACATGCCGTACCTGTAATGTCTGGGTACCTGTAATGTCTGGGTATAATGGGTGCTGTAGTGATGGGACATGCCGTACCTGTAATGTCTGGGTACCTGTAATGTCTGGGTATAATGGGTGCTGTAGTGATGGGACATGCCGTACCTGTAATGTCTGGGTATATCGGGTGCTGTAGTCATGGGACATGCCGTACCTGTAATGTCTGAGTAGAACCGATTCTGTAGGGATGGGACATGCGGTACCTGCAGTTAGGGATGCACCAATACCGGGTTTTTCTGTATTGAGTACCGATATTGTTTTTTGGTATTTGCCTGCCACCCGGCTTCCTGATTAGTAGGGAAGCCGTCTCCATGCTTCTCGTCACTAGGTGACGAGAAGGCATGGAACCGGCTTTCTGGCCAATCAGTAAGCCGGGCGCCGTGTAATGACTCGCTGCCCGGCTTTCTGATACCGGAAGCCCATGTATCGGAGCATTTGGACGACTATGAGTACTCGCCCAAATACTCGGCACCGATACTAGTATCGGTGCATCCCTACCTGTAATGTCTGGATATAATGGGTGTTGTAGCGATGGGACATGCCGTACCTGCAATGTCTGGGTATATCAGGCGCTGTAGTGATGGGACATGCCGTACCTGCAATGTCTGGGTATAATGGGTGTTGTAGTGATGGGACATGCCGTACCTGTAATGTCTGGGTACTTGTAATGTCTGGGTATAATGGGTGCTGTAGTGATGAGACATGCCGTACCTGTAATGTCTGGGTATAATGGGTGTTGTAGTGATGGGACATGCCGTACCTGTAATGTCTGGGTACTTGTAATGTCTGGGTATAATGGGTGCTGTAGTGATGAGACATGCCGTACCTGTAATGTCTGGGTATAATGGGTGTTGTAGTGATGGGACATGCCGTACCTGTAATGTCTGGGTACTTGTAATGTCTGGGTATAATGGGTGCTGTAGTGATGAGACATGCCGTACCTGTAATGTCTGGGTATAATGGGTGTTGTAGTGATGGGACATGCCGTACCTGTAATGTCTGGGTACTTGTAATGTCTGGGTATAATGGGTGCTGTAGTGATGAGACATGCCGTACCTGTAATGTCTGGGTATAATGGGTGTTGTAGTGATGGGACATGCCGTACCTGTAATGTCTGGGTACTTGTAATGTCTGGGTATAATGGGTGCTGTAGTGATGAGACATGCCGTACCTGTAATGTCTGGGTATAATGGGTGTTGTAGTGATGGGACATGCCGTACCTGTAATGTCTGGGTACTTGTAATGTCTGGGTATAATGGGTGCTGTAGTGATGAGACATGCCGTACCTGTAATGTCTGGGTATAATGGGTGTTGTAGTGATGGGACATGCCGTACCTGTAATGTCTGGGTACTTGTAATGTCTGGGTATAATGGGTGCTGTAGTGATGAGACATGCCGTACCTGTAATGTCTGGGTATAATGGGTGTTGTAGTGATGGGACATGCCGTACCTGTAATGTCTGGGTACTTGTAATGTCTGGGTATAATGGGTGCTGTAGTGATGAGACATGCCGTACCTGTAATGTCTGGGTATAATGGGTGTTGTAGTGATGGGACATGCCGTACCTGTAATGTCTGGGTACTTGTAATGTCTGGGTATAATGGGTGCTGTAGTGATGAGACATGCCGTACCTGTAATGTCTGGGTATAATGGGTGTTGTAGTGATGGGACATGCCGTACCTGTAATGTCTGGGTACTTGTAATGTCTGGGTATAATGGGTGCTGTAGTGATGAGACATGCCGTACCTGTAATGTCTGGGTATAATGGGTGTTGTAGTGATGGGACATGCCGTACCTGTAATGTCTGGGTACTTGTAATGTCTGGGTATAATGGGTGCTGTAGTGATGAGACATGCCGTACCTGTAATGTCTGGGTATAATGGGTGTTGTAGTGATGGGACATGCCGTACCTGTAATGTCTGGGTACTTGTAATGTCTGGGTATAATGGGTGCTGTAGTGATGAGACATGCCGTACCTGTAATGTCTGGGTATAATGGGTGTTGTAGTGATGGGACATGCCGTACCTGTAATGTCTGGGTACTTGTAATGTCTGGGTATAATGGGTGCTGTAGTGATGAGACATGCCGTACCTGTAATGTCTGGGTATAATGGGTGTTGTAGTGATGGGACATGCCGTACCTGTAATGTCTGGGTACTTGTAATGTCTGGGTATAATGGGTGCTGTAGTGATGAGACATGCCGTACCTGTAATGTCTGGGTATAATGGGTGTTGTAGTGATGGGACATGCCGTACCTGTAATGTCTGGGTACTTGTAATGTCTGGGTATAATGGGTGCTGTAGTGATGAGACATGCCGTACCTGTAATGTCTGGGTATAATGGGTGTTGTAGTGATGGGACATGCCGTACCTGTAATGTCTGGGTACTTGTAATGTCTGGGTATAATGGGTGCTGTAGTGATGAGACATGCCGTACCTGTAATGTCTGGGTATAATGGGTGTTGTAGTGATGGGACATGCCGTACCTGTAATGTCTGGGTACTTGTAATGTCTGGGTATAATGGGTGCTGTAGTGATGAGACATGCCGTACCTGTAATGTCTGGGTATAATGGGTGTTGTAGTGATGGGACATGCCGTACCTGTAATGTCTGGGTACTTGTAATGTCTGGGTATAATGGGTGCTGTAGTGATGAGACATGCCGTACCTGTAATGTCTGGGTATAATGGGTGTTGTAGTGATGGGACATGCCGTACCTGTAATGTCTGGGTACTTGTAATGTCTGGGTATAATGGGTGCTGTAGTGATGAGACATGCCGTACCTGTAATGTCTGGGTATAATGGGTGTTGTAGTGATGGGACATGCCGTACCTGTAATGTCTGGGTACTTGTAATGTCTGGGTATAATGGGTGCTGTAGTGATGAGACATGCCGTACCTGTAATGTCTGGGTATAATGGGTGTTGTAGTGATGGGACATGCCGTACCTGTAATGTCTGGGTACTTGTAATGTCTGGGTATAATGGGTGCTGTAGTGATGAGACATGCCGTACCTGTAATGTCTGGGTATAATGGGTGTTGTAGTGATGGGACATGCCGTACCTGTAATGTCTGGGTACTTGTAATGTCTGGGTATAATGGGTGCTGTAGTGATGAGACATGCCGTACCTGTAATGTCTGGGTATAATGGGTGTTGTAGTGATGGGACATGCCGTACCTGTAATGTCTGGGTACTTGTAATGTCTGGGTATAATGGGTGCTGTAGTGATGAGACATGCCGTACCTGTAATGTCTGGGTATAATGGGTGTTGTAGTGATGGGACATGCCGTACCTGTAATGTCTGGGTACTTGTAATGTCTGGGTATAATGGGTGCTGTAGTGATGAGACATGCCGTACCTGTAATGTCTGGGTATAATGGGTGTTGTAGTGATGGGACATGCCGTACCTGTAATGTCTGGGTACTTGTAATGTCTGGGTATAATGGGTGCTGTAGTGATGAGACATGCCGTACCTGTAATGTCTGGGTATAATGGGTGTTGTAGTGATGGGACATGCCGTACCTGTAATGTCTGGGTACTTGTAATGTCTGGGTATAATGGGTGCTGTAGTGATGAGACATGCCGTACCTGTAATGTCTGGGTATAATGGGTGTTGTAGTGATGGGACATGCCGTACCTGTAATGTCTGGGTACTTGTAATGTCTGGGTATAATGGGTGCTGTAGTGATGAGACATGCCGTACCTGTAATGTCTGGGTATAATGGGTGTTGTAGTGATGGGACATGCCGTACCTGTAATGTCTGGGTACTTGTAATGTCTGGGTATAATGGGTGCTGTAGTGATGAGACATGCCGTACCTGTAATGTCTGGGCATAATGGGTGTTGTAGTGATGGGACATGCCGTACCTGCAATGTCTGGGTATAATGGGTGTTGTAGTGATGGGACATGCCGTACCTGCAATGTCTGGGTATAATGGGTGTTGTAGTGATGGGACATGCCGTACCTGCAATGTCTGGGTATAATGGGTGTTGTAGTGATGGGACATGCCGTACCTGCAATGTCTGGGTATATCAGGCGCTGTAGTGATGGGACATTGCCAACAATGTAACAACCTGGGCATCTCCTGCTCATCTCTGAGTGATGGAGACATTGACCTTATGTAACACAATCCTTTCCTGTCTTCCAGTCTGGAGTTCCTTTACCTGGGTGGCAACTTCATCTCCCACATCCCGCCGGAGCTCGCCAACCTGCCGTATCTCAGCTGCCTGGTCCTATGTGATAACCGCATCCAGAGCGTCCCGCCACAGCTGGCACAGTGAGTTCATTGCAATGAAATCTTAAATGAGCTTCAAATGTCCCCAATAAAGGCAACTTCTATATATGAACTGATCTTCAAATAAATGTCTGTAAAGTGCCGTGCTATAGGTGGCCTTCTTTGGTTTTGGGGAGTGGGGGAATTCACCTTCTCTATTTGTCCCATCTTTCTCTCCCAGGGTCCACTCGCTGCGGTCACTCAGCCTGCACAACAACCTCCTGACATACCTTCCGCGGGAGATTCTCAGTCTGGTCCACCTGCAGGAGCTCAGCCTACGCGGGAACCCGCTGGTGGTGAGGTTTGTGCGGGATCTGACCTACGCCCCACCCTCGCTGCTGGAGCTGGCTGGGCGCACCATCAAGAGTCGGGGGATTGCCTACACACCGTGGGAGCTTCCGGAGAACCTCGTGAGATATCTGGACCTGTCGAGCAAATGTCCCAACCCCAAGTGTGGAGGTGAGGTGTTCTTCCAAAGGCTCATTCACACCACAGCTCTGTGCTTCTCAATGGTTGTGCATTTTCATTCCCCCGAGATGCATCATGTGGCCTATAAATTATAAATGAGCGGTCAGCACAACTGAGTGCATTAAAACCCCCCAAAACTATATAGCACAATATATGTACATTGGAGTGCGAATAACAATAAATGGCAATGCCCCCTCTGATCAATGTTACTTTGTATCTCTCTCTCTCCCCCCCCCCCCCCCCCCCCTTTTCCTTC